TAAGTAGTTTCTGTTGGACGTCGTTTTAACCATATTAAGGGGGCCGACTTAAGTTTCCATTGCGTAATATTTCGCGCATCATAGTAAAATGAAGCGTATTTATTGTTTTAATGCAACTTTTTTCGCTGAATTATTAAAATTAAACAAAATTAAGAAGTTATAGGTATAAAAATGTATTACAATTTGATATAACTGATTTTTAACCGATTTTGCAATTGATAGGTAGGTTGACGTCGCTGCTGTGTCTTTTTGACGTTATGGTAATCTGAAGCTCTTAAAGAAAGGGGTAATAAAAATATAATTACAGAAATAGTTATAAAGATACGCTCTTGAAATTTAAAACATAGAAATTTGCGAATATCTCTAATATTTTTATTATGTTTTCTTGTGAATCCATTGTTTATGCCATATTTTGTAGTACTCTATAAAAATAGTTAAATTTGCTTTTATTTGCATTTTGAGATGCCCCCTCTCTTAACAAGACGGTAGAATTTTGTGTTTCTTACATATATTGTATCATATAGTATTACTCATAAAATATTTTAGTTTGAAAAAAAGACTATTGTAGTATTTGTATAATTTGCTTTAAAGTGCTAAAAATTGGCATTTTCCTATATAATCCTATGGTAAATGTACCTGTATTTTGAGACGGTCCCTCAAAAATACCTGGACGGTAGATTTTCCCCAAACTTTGCATGTACACTGAAGTTAATGTAATTTATATATGGTATAAAAATGAAGAGTTTCACTATTGTAGTTTACACACAATGAAACAATAATCGGCCCCCTTAAATCACTATTATATATGATGATGATTATACATGTACACTGTTTAACGTCCCTCTCCAGTATATTTCACTGGTATAGAGACGTCGACATTGCCGGTGAAGGGCTGGAAATTTAGGCCTATTCTCGGCACTTACATGTAAGGCCTTTGAGCAGGGAGGGATCTTTATCGTGCCACACCTGCTGTGACACGGGGCCACGGTTTTTACGGTCTCATCCGAAGGACCGCCCCATTTAGTCGCTCTTTACGACAAGCAAGGGGTACTGAGGACCTATTCTACCCCGGATCCCCACGGGGCCACTACCATATAACTGGACGCTGTTCCGTTCGAATGACAGACGTCACTTTTTCTGTCAATTGCTGAAACATGCTCTACGTAGATCAATTTCTTAATTGAGGTAAATTATTGAAAAAGAAAAAAAAATATTAGCAGTCTTGTTTGAAGTAATCATACCCTAATGTGTTAGCAAATTCAATTAATCATTGTGTCAAATGCTGACTTATGCTTGTAATTATACTTATTGTTAGTCCATTATTTATACACTGAATCGACGACGGATTATTCTGTTATTTAACGATCATGACAAGGAGTACACGACGGGCGTTACTGGTAATCATCAGATGCTCACTCCTCCATGGCACCTGATCCCGCATCTGATATTTTGGAGGCCGGAGTATGCTTTTCTCCTATTTTGTACTGATTTCTGGGCGTTTGATCTTAAATGCTGTTCGTTATTTCAATATGTTTCATGTAATGAATGATTATATTTCCAATGCAGTTAAGTGTGAAAAGTACTTTGAGGTACCTTAGGATGTTTTCATATTTCCAACACAGAATTCTATGAATCATAAATCGATCTTGAAACATTGCTCTCTGACATAAATGAGACAGTCCGATATTTAACGAGGCTGGGGGGTGGCAGCCATTTTCAGACTATTTCGATCTCCTTTGAAAGAAGAGCTCCATATAATGATATACAAAAATGATAAAAATTTAAAACTAAAATGTATGAATTTTTTCTTAGCCAAATGAAAGTTGACGGCTTAAGATACCGTATCTAAAAAAATAAGTTAAATCTGGTGGTTAATTTGTGTTTAAACCCAGCTTCCTTAAACAATAAAGAAAAGTGTGAATGACCAATAAATAATCGTTTCAAAAAAGAGCTTGAATAAAAAAAAAAAAATCAGTCTTGTTTTTAATCAACAATATAATTTTATGTATGCAAATGCAGAATTATATGAAATGAAAAGTTGAAATGAAAATTTCTTTAAGAAAATCTTCATATATACTTCCGACATTGATATTTATATTAAAAAAAATGAATTAGAATTAGATTTTTGTGTAAATTTTAAGTCTTTTTGTGTTAAGAATGACAGATTTATCCACCGACTGCATTACGAATATGAAATGGAATCAGCCAATATAAGGGATTTTTATAATTTTTAACAATAAAATGAATCTATTAACAACTTAATTTAAAAAATTCAGGGGGTTCGTGTTTGAATCATTTTGTTACATTCCCCCTTTCTATAGCAGAATAATTTTAAAATTGTACTTTGAAGTTTTTTTTTCCAAATAAGGTATAATCAATAATTAATATTCTTTTTTTTTCTAAATAATTGCTATAAGATGAAGTATTGTTGTTAAAATAAATAATCACATTTAAAATTCTTTTGATCTTCAAGAGTCCAATTACAGAGTGTGTATGAATGATACACTGTACATATATCAGTATTGTGAGTGCATATGATTATTACTTCCATACGAATCATAGTATCGGGATGCCACAGGTCCAATTATATACAACAAGAAGAAAGGACTGACATCACAGTAATGTTTTAAGGCAATACAGCCCTCTTCTTCTATTTTCATTTATTTTAAGTATTAAACTAAAAAAGGAAATGGTTTGAAGCATTAAGCATGTTTTTTTTTTTTTTTTACCTTTTTACAGCAATATTTTTTATCTATTCATGCAGTGAAGAAAATTTCAAATGTTGAAATATTATAATTATAAATTTCAACATTAAAATAAAAAATAGACGTACTGTGAGTGTGAGCACTGACCTCACTTACTGAGTCTCCGCTCCTCCTGTATGCTTGTAAAAACAGAGTCCTTTCTTCTCTTGCAAACCCAAAATAACCAAAATAAGTGTCAGATCAAAAAGTGAAATAGTAATTGCATTGCACAGTGGCATTTTATAGTAAATTGAAGAAGATGCGGAAAAAGATATGAGCTTCCTTCAATAGCATTGAAAAATGGCTCAGTGTCATCTAAAAATGTGTACAATCAAGAGTACTTTTTACTTTATTCTTTGTAGGTAAGAATCTGTGAAAACTTCGTTAAATTTCATTCGGTACCATAAGAAAAGTTGCGGATGAGAGATTGGTACTCCAAAAGCATAACAGACTTACTTAAGAAGAAACGGACGGTCGTGCTGACAGCTAAACAAAGTGAGGGGTATACTGATAACCAGAGTACAACCCACGAGTTTCTGCCGGAAAACACCGGCCACGGTAAACCCTCAGTCGAGACTTTCGTGTGGATTTTGATAAATGTCGGTGTCTTCAATGCTTCTTTTTCAGCGCTATGCTAGCTAGCACACGGTGCGATACGGAGTGTTCATGGTGGGATACGGTGCTTTTGCTCCATAGAACGCCGTGCTGGTTAATCAAAATATTGTTCTTTAAAAACAAATCCCTTAAAAATATATCATTGAATATGTTAGATTAAAACTCACTAAAATACATGTCGACTCCAGCGTGCATTACTGAAATTTCGATATTGTCATGCGTGACAAAAAAAAATTACAAACACGCAATTTTACCAGTCAGCAATGGTTAGGTTCATTTCATACTTTATTATCTGAAATTCTTAAAATAAATTCTAAAAGACGCATTTTTATGGGTTTTTAATGAAACGATTAATGTTCGTTTATTTGAATCCTGTAATTGTATTTTTCATTTCACATTTGTGCTTATTTGAAATCAAATACAATTCCGATTGTTGTACCATTATAAATATTTTATTGATATGAAATCATTTGAATGTGATAAACCAATCAGAAAAAAAAATATTTGGAAATGTCAGCGTTCCAATTAAAATTCTTTATAGGTCTAAGCATACTCATTTACTTAAAAAACAATCACATAAACATGTCGTCTACATTGTGCAGCCTGTACTTTCTTTTTCTTTCTTGATTAATACCAAATAGCAGGTTTCAAATCATTAATTTATTTTCAGACAATATAACCCCAATCCGCACCCCAAGTACCTCAGACCCAGGGGCCCTGAAATTCACAATTTTGGAAGAGGCACCTTTCAACATCATTGATAGTACGTACTTAGAACATTGGCATAATACCCGGGAGCAAAGAAAAAAGATTTCCAAAGACTTCATGCATTTTCACTATATAATCATTTGAGCCACACGCTAACAATAAAACCCCTAATCCTGGGGCCCTGAAATTCACAAATCTGGAAGAGGCGTCCTTCCTCATCATAACTATGTACACAGTTCACTAGTTTAATACCCAGGAGCAGAGGAGAAGATTTTTAAATAATTAATGTATTTGCACTATATTATCATTAGAGTCCCACCCTAACATCAAAACCCCTTGACTGCTGGGTCATAAAATTCACAATTTACATGTACATATATTGAATAAGGCTGCCTCTTACAAAATTGTGCATTTTATGACTCTGGGGTCAGGAGTTCTGGTGTTATTGTGGGGTTCAAATGATTATATAGTAAAAAAAAACATTGATTCCTTAAAAATCTTCTCTGCTCCAGGTTACCCTGGGGGCATGATTTGAATAAACGTAAAACTATAATACCTGATGTTGCCTCCATTAGTTTCATCGTTCCCGACAATGTGGTTCTTGAGAGGATTTTAAAAACATGCCACCAAATTTTTACTTTCTCTTCTTTATCTCCCCTTAAAAGATGGCGTTACCATTCACTTGAAAAAACTTGGATTTCCTTTACCCAAGGATACTTTTTAGCAAGCTTAGTTAAAATTGGCCAAGCGGTTATCAAGTAAAGTCGAAAATGTGAAAGGTTTACAGACAGACGGATGCCGGACAAAATGTTATTAGGAAAACTCACTTGAGCTGTCAGCTCAAGTGAGCTTAAAATAGCAGGAACATGATGTTGGTAATTGATTGTCAGGGATAAAAAATTAAAAAAGAATTTAAAAACTTTTTTACTCTGGGTTTTACGATGAAATTTATTGAGTAAAAAAAACAAAATGCACAATACGTTATAAAATGCTAAATATACAGGTGTATATACTAAAAACAAAGAAAAAATAAGTCATGCAAGATTCGAAATTGAAAGAATTCATAAAGTTGATATGTACAAGAACATTAGATTATTGTACTCCAATGTGTGAGTGAGAAAAGAAAACTTGTGTGGTATCTACAAGTAATTCTTCATTCTAAAGTAATAAATCATATTTTTGTGCCCCCCAACTCAGAAAAAACCTAGTAGATCTTCATTCGAAATATAAGGAAATATACAACCTTTGTAATTCAGTTTACGTATTTCAAACTGAGAAGTGTTCTGCAAAGTCCCTGTAAAATCTAAATGCTTGAAACAATTAATCATTACTGTTCTATGCATTACGGATATTCAAATCTGAAATGTGCAGAAAGACAATTTAAGTAATAGAGTAATTGGTTTATTAGCTCTTCCCTCGCTCGCTCTCTCTCTCTCTCTCTCTCTCTCTCTCTCTCTCTCTCTCTCTCTCTCTCTCTCTCTCTCTCTCTGTCTGAAAACAACAAATAAGTATTGTACATATGCAATCGAAGATGATACATATGGTGCATACACTTCAGTAGTAATTGTTTTCTAATAAAGGATAAAAAATAATGGATGATTCTTAAATTACAAAGTACTGTCTCCTGCTTTAGTTGTAAGAAGAAGGTATGGTTTCTATACAAATTTGGCCCTGTGATTTTCTAAAAAATGAAACTGGTGTAAAAGTTGAAATTTAATGCAGAAAAATCATACAAGTCATTTTTTCTCACATGTGTTTTTAAATGCTAATTATGACGTCATAAACATAAGCATTTTCCCGTATTTACTTAAAAAGTTGCAGAAGACACTAATTTTCAATGAAAACTTCTTTCAGATAACATTTTCCACAGGCATCGCCCAAAAGGATCTTGAGATATGTGATTTGTTATTGAATTTTGCAAAAAACATCAAAAAATTAACGTGGGCGACGGCTGTGGACACTGTTATTTAAAGGAAAATCGCCCTTGAAATGTGCAATTTTGAGGCTTTTCTGTTGAAAAATGAAAAGTGCTAAACATTAATGACGTCATATTTGCAGAATGGTAAACCTTCATGCCATATTCTTTCCTGATTGATCAGAGTCATTTATTTAACTATAATTTAAGCCAGTTTCAAAATTTTTTGATGTCATTTCATTTTTAATAGGGCGCAATAAAGCTAAAACCATACCTTCTTCTTTAATAAAAGTAGGCTGGAAAGGGAGTTGGTGGAGACTACCAAGCTTTATTAATAGATCCAATTGACTATAAACATTTTTTTTCAAAACTAATAAAAGCAATAGATAGAAAAATCCCACTTATTTCATGGCATATGCTGCAGACATGTGAAATTTTACATTGAATATTTCACATGTATCATTTATATGTAATATACAAGTACAGTCAATAAGATGTCTATGATTTATCAGTCTTCGTAAATAAATAAAACATGTCAAAATAGAAAAAAACAAAAACAAAAACAATGAATTCTTTGGTGTTTTCTTTCAAACTTGAAAATGCAGATGAGGGGGCACGCCATTGCTTCCTCCAGTTGCACCGTTCTTTGTATCGTACGTGTACTCTTCTGGTACAAGTTCCACTCTGCTCTGACTTATTTCCCTTTCTCTCATTCTTTTCCTGATAATACATTTAATCAAAATACCTTACAGCTTACAGTTCGATAATGAAAGGGACAACAAGCTTTAGAGAGGAAAATGCTAGAAGAGTTTGCCACTGTCCCAAGAATAGGGAAAGCAACTTCCAAATAAGAATAAATCAAAAACTACTTAGAAAAATTACTCTCAGAAAAATAAATAAATTTTACTCACCGATAAAATGTATATGCAATGTAGCTACCGAGACAAATTAGAATAAGGCTGAGAATGACTACTGTAACTACCAGTGCCTTATTTTTTTTCTTTAAATCTGCAAAGAAAAAAAACATAAGATGAAAAAGGAGTATTTCTTATCCAAACAGTGAGTACCGTTATTGCATTACATTCGGTTGTTTAATCTATTTATTGCCTATTGCGCAAAGCAATCCCCACTAAATTAAGACAAACAGCACAAAGAGATTCTCCCAATTTGGAGTTGAAACTGAAACCTGGTTCCAATTGAAAACAGTACAGGAATGTGCGCTATACCGCTTGGCCACATGGGTAAGTCTAAATATTTGCTTTCGATGCTGATCGAACCCTCACACATAATATATCGCACATGTTCAACTTAATTTACAGAATGTTCTAACTGTGGACAACAGACCGGATGCATTTTGGAGTGTCTTATCTATATCTTCATCTGCATGCAACAAGTCAAAGCAGCCAAGTAGTGGGGTGTTTGCTTTGTAATCAGGAGAGCCGGGTTTGATTCTCGTTCGCAGCGTCAAATTTAAGCCGTAATCAACAATTATAGGTAATGACTGTTCCTTTGTCAAGCACCTGTCATTAGAAGAGAAAGTCAAGAATCTTTCGGATGCGACGTTAAAAACCGAGGTGGGCATTGGCAAGACAAAAGACTTTCATTCCTTAGTGACCCTGATTTCCTAGAATAGGTTAAAATTTGTAGCTCTCATTGATACGTGTTGGCGTTTTTGTATGAAGCCACCTTTAATAATTGTTTGGTTTCCCTCTCCCGACAGACTAGGAAAAAAGGCTAGACTTAAAACTTCTTTATAACTCCAGGAAATAATGTTTTTTTTTTACAATTTCGATGTTTTCACAGCTTATACTTAACCATTTAAACGTCATATTTACTACTCCACAAGTTATAGGTAAGTGTATTTTATAAATGTCCTGCAAATATTCTGTATGCAAGCAAAAAAGAAAGTAGTTTAAGCCCTACCTGCGTAATACACATTGACTCGAATGATATTGTTTTTACTCGTTTGGTGTCAGAAATTAAAGATCATTTACTTTATATTAAGAAACAATGAAGAAGAGATAATATAACATTTGTTTTCCAAAATGGTCGTCAAAATGCAAACGAGATAGCGCCCTCTGACGGTTACAGTTTCTTTACCAGACTCTCTGCTGGTCGGAGATTTACAGAGACAGCCGAATGTCTGGTTGAACGAGACTACATATTCACAAATGTTTTTAATAAAATCAAATTCGAACTACTTCCTGTTTTTTTTTTATCTCCTACTCAACAGGGCAAGCAAACTTTCTTTTTTAAGTTGGCCTGAGCGGATCGAGAGTCGTTTCTGACGCAAGTCATTGTGACGCATCCCAAATGATACAATACAAAGTAAAAATGCCGCATAATAACAAGAAATAAATTGTTTAAATGTAAATATTCATTAAAGTTTGACTTCATAAAATACCTTTATAGTCTTTGCTAAGAGCATTTTCCTCATCTGTGCCTTTATATGTTGTAAGAATTGTTGTTGATGGCAATGCCGTTGTTGTTGATGTTGATGTCGTCGTATCTGTTGTTGTTGATGTTGATGTCGTCGTTTCTGTTGTTGTTGATGTTGTTGTTGAAGTTGTCGTCGGGTATTCACATGTTCCATTCGTTCCTGATAAATAGAATTATGGAATTGAATGCATTGCCTACAGATGGAAGGTAAAACTTTTAAATTATCGAATTAATGAGTGATTGAATTAAAAATGTATTTATTGCCTTATTGTATAGGTAATATTTCTGAAAATACTATATAAAACAGACATTTTTGAATTAGAGATAAAAAAAAACATATCCTCTACCGAAACAGAATCTTTCAGGGCAGGCGTCTAGTGCCGGTAGACAGTACACGTGATGGGTGCCGCAGTTCTTTATCTGTACATCGTACTCTTTAACACAGCAATCGGAGAATCCAGTTTTACAGAGTTTCCTGGAAACAACACCATCAGCTACTTGTGGTAAGGTTCCTGAAATTAAAAGTCATTGTATTCTTTGACACGTTCTTGATACTTTAATCTACCTTATCAATTATATGAGACAAAAGCACTGCTATCAAGTACATGCAATTTCATTGACTTTTCTTTTGAAATACATATTTTTGTGTATGTTTCACCTCCTTCTAGACTCCTATTGTGACGCCAACACTTTCCGATGGAGGGCTACAAATTTTAAAACTGTACGAGTGACGTAACATCGTTTTTGAAAGAGGGGGGGGGGGCAGCCAAAGAGAAAAAAAACGACTTACCTGAAAAAAAATTGAGAAGCGAAGAAAAAAGGAAAATTGTCCAAACTTGGAAATCCTGTTTCATGGGTGAGAGGGGGGGGGGTGATCAACTAGTATTAGTACCATATTCTATTCATTTAATGCTACATTACCCTTCTTTTACTTTACTGTAACAAAACAGGGGAGCAATTACAAGTTATGTATGATGGGAAAAAAGTGGAGGGGGACAGCTGTCAGGAATCTTTTTATTGTGTCAGCACCTACAGCGTGCGATACAGGAGTTCGGTTTAAACGATATCATCCAAAGGACCCTTCACCAAGTCCCGAAGTGGGAATCAAACCAGCACAGTAAGGATTAACTCCCCGACTTTGGAGCAAAATCTCTAACCACTTCACTTAATTGAGATTTTTAGAAGTAACATAAAAAAATAGAAAAACAAAAACAATCAATTCAATAGAAAAAAACGGAAACTATAATCAAATAAAAAAAATTTAAAATGTCCAAAATTTACCATTATACCATACGGGATAAATAGCCCCACAGCTGCTGAGGGCGGGACACTGATCTAGTATAGGTTCGTCTGACCTGTACCATCCCGGGGTCTTGTATCGATCACATGGGACATGAGGTTGTGTCCCGTCATATGGGCAGTTCGGGGTTCGTGCATACGGCTCAAAAAGCTCTCCGGCTGCCGTACAGGGATCTATTAACAATAACAAAATATTTACAGGATATTTGTATTTTTAATTTGTCATTATTAGATGTTTTAAAAGAACGTGATTTAAAAAATAAATAATAAGGAGTATATTCAGATATTATATTTCTAAGAATTAGTACAAGTTCCACTCTGCTCTGACTTATTTCCCTTTCTCTCATTCTTTTCCTGATAATACATTTAATCAAAATACCTTACAGCTTACAGTTCGATAATGAAAGGGACAACAAGCTTTAGAGAGGAAAATGCTAGAAGAGTTTGCCACTGTCCCAAGAAGAGGGAAAGCAACTTCCAAATAAGAATAAATCAAAAACTACTTAGAAAAATTACTCTCAGAAAAATAAATAAATTTTACTCACCGATAAAATGTATATGCAATGTAGCTACCGAGACAAATTAGAATAAGGCTGAGAATGACTACTGTAACTACCAGTGCCTTATTTTTTTTCTTTAAATCTGCAAAGAAAAAAAACATAAGATGAAAAAGGAGTATTTCTTATCCAAACAGTGAGTACCGTTATTGCATTACATTCGGTTGTTTAATCTATTTATTGCCTATTGCGCAAAGCAATCCCCACTAAATTAAGACAAACAGCACAAAGAGATTCTCCCAATTTGGAGTTGAAACTGAAACCTGGTTCCAATTGAAAACAGTACAGGAATGTGCGCTATACCGCTTGGCCACATGGGTAAGTCTAAATATTTGCTTTCGATGCTGATCGAACCCTCACACATAATATATCGCACATGTTCAACTTAATTTACAGAATGTTCTAACTGTGGACAACAGACCGGATGCATTTTGGAGTGTCTTATCTATATCTTCATCTGCATGCAACAAGTCAAAGCAGCCAAGTAGTGGGGTGTTTGCTTTGTAATCAGGAGAGCCGGGTTTGATTCTCGTTCGCAGCGTCAAATTTAAGCCGTAATCAACAATTATAGGTAATGACTGTTCCTTTGTCAAGCACCTGTCATTAGAAGAGAAAGTCAAGAATCTTTCGGATGCGACGTTAAAAACCGAGGTGGGCATTGGCAAGACAAAAGACTTTCATTCCTTAGTGACCCTGATTTCCTAGAATAGGTTAAAATTTGTAGCTCTCATTGATACGTGTTGGCGTTTTTGTATGAAGCCACCTTTAATAATTGTTTGGTTTCCCTCTCCCGACAGACTAGGAAAAAAGGCTAGACTTAAAACTTCTTTATAACTCCAGGAAATAATGTTTTTTTTTTACAATTTCGATGTTTTCACAGCTTATACTTAACCATTTAAACGTCATATTTACTACTCCACAAGTTATAGGTAAGTGTATTTTATAAATGTCCTGCAAATATTCTGTATGCAAGCAAAAAAGAAAGTAGTTTAAGCCCTACCTGCGTAATACACATTGACTCGAATGATATTGTTTTTACTCGTTTGGTGTCAGAAATTAAAGATCATTTACTTTATATTAAGAAACAATGAAGAAGAGATAATATAACATTTGTTTTCCAAAATGGTCGTCAAAATGCAAACGAGATAGCGCCCTCTGACGGTTACAGTTTCTTTACCAGACTCTCTGCTGGTCGGAGATTTACAGAGACAGCCGAATGTCTGGTTGAACGAGACTACATATTCACAAATGTTTTTAATAAAATCAAATTCGAACTACTTCCTGTTTTTTTTTTATCTCCTACTCAACAGGGCAAGCAAACTTTCTTTTTTAAGTTGGCCTGAGCGGATCGAGAGTCGTTTCTGACGCAAGTCATTGTGACGCATCCCAAATGATACAATACAAAGTAAAAATGCCGCATAATAACAAGAAATAAATTGTTTAAATGTAAATATTCATTAAAGTTTGACTTCATAAAATACCTTTATAGTCTTTGCTAAGAGCATTTTCCTCATCTGTGCCTTTATATGTTGTAAGAATTGTTGTTGATGGCAATGCCGTTGTTGTTGATGTTGATGTCGTCGTATCTGTTGTTGTTGATGTTGATGTCGTCGTTTCTGTTGTTGTTGATGTTGTTGTTGAAGTTGTCGTCGGGTATTCACATGTTCCATTCGTTCCTGATAAATAGAATTATGGAATTGAATGCATTGCCTACAGATGGAAGGTAAAACTTTTAAATTATCGAATTAATGAGTGATTGAATTAAAAATGTATTTATTGCCTTATTGTATAGGTAATATTTCTGAAAATACTATATAAAACAGACATTTTTGAATTAGAGATAAAAAAAAACATATCCTCTACCGAAACAGAATCTTTCAGGGCAGGCGTCTAGTGCCGGTAGACAGTACACGTGATGGGTGCCGCAGTTCTTTATCTGTACATCGTACTCTTTAACACAGCAATCGGAGAATCCAGTTTTACAGAGTTTCCTGGAAACAACACCATCAGCTACTTGTGGTAAGGTTCCTGAAATTAAAAGTCATTGTATTCTTTGACACGTTCTTGATACTTTAATCTACCTTATCAATTATATGAGACAAAAGCACTGCTATCAAGTACATGCAATTTCATTGACTTTTCTTTTGAAATACATATTTTTGTGTATGTTTCACCTCCTTCTAGACTCCTATTGTGACGCCAACACTTTCCGATGGAGGGCTACAAATTTTAAAACTGTACGAGTGACGTAACATCGTTTTTGAAAGAGGGGGGGGGGGCAGCCAAAGAGAAAAAAAACGACTTACCTGAAAAAAAATTGAGAAGCGAAGAAAAAAGGAAAATTGTCCAAACTTGGAAATCCTGTTTCATGGGTGAGAGGGGGGGGGGTGATCAACTAGTATTAGTACCATATTCTATTCATTTAATGCTACATTACCCTTCTTTTACTTTACTGTAACAAAACAGGGGAGCAATTACAAGTTATGTATGATGGGAAAAAAGTGGAGGGGGACAGCTGTCAGGAATCTTTTTATTGTGTCAGCACCTACAGCGTGCGATACAGGAGTTCGGTTTAAACGATATCATCCAAAGGACCCTTCACCAAGTCCCGAAGTGGGAATCAAACCAGCACAGTAAGGATTAACTCCCCGACTTTGGAGCAAAATCTCTAACCACTTCACTTAATTGAGATTTTTAGAAGTAACATAAAAAAATAGAAAAACAAAAACAATCAATTCAATAGAAAAAAACGGAAACTATAATCAAATAAAAAAAATTTAAAATGTCCAAAATTTACCATTATACCATACGGGATAAATAGCCCCACAGCTGCTGAGGGCGGGACACTGATCTAGTATAGGTTCGTCTGACCTGTACCATCCCGGGGTCTTGTATCGATCACATGGGACATGAGGTTGTGTCCCGTCATATGGGCAGTTCGGGGTTCGTGCATACGGCTCAAAAAGCTCTCCGGCTGCCGTACAGGGATCTATTAACAATAACAAAATATTTACAGGATATTTGTATTTTTAATTTGTCATTATTAGATGTTTTAAAAGAACGTGATTTAAAAAATAAATAATAAGGAGTATATTCAGATATTATATTTCTAAGAATTAGGGCTTTAAAATTGATAGTATTTCACAATTATTCATAACGGCATTTATGTTTTTTTTTTTTTTTTTATCGTCGAGATATTAGGAGAAATTCATTCTATTGTGTAACTATCATTAAGAGGTCAGTGTTGGAAGTATAAATTAAAAGAAGCAAGATAAATTTCAAATTATCTAAATACCTTTTATCAACCAAATATATAACAAACTTAGATTTCATGACTATTATGTTGACTTGCATTTAAAAAAATCAAATCATATATTTGATTGGTGTGAAAGGCATTTCATGTTTTAAAACAACTTCCATTGACTTATAGTTCCACTTTTGAACACATCTGTTGTCCAACAGATTGTAAAGAGGTGGATTAACATATTTACATTTTAAATGAGTTCCCTACACTGTTAAGTTGTTTGCTATTCTTTGAATATTTGTTTTATGTGCTTCTAATTTTTAAATGAAATATAGTTCAAACAAATTTTGTCGTTTACTTTTATCACCACTACGTGGTTATCAATATGTTCCCTCCATTCCAGCCCGATCTATCATTGACATCTCATTCCGGCCGCAAAAAAAGAGTACTCTGAGCTTTTCATTTTATTTCGTTTAGAACATTTAAAAGTCTGTCGTAAATTTAAAGAAAATAACAGCAGATTATATATATCTTATTTTTAATTTTTCATACTATTTAATATTACATTATTAATACACTGAATTGACGACGGATTTCGTAATTCCCAATCATGACAAGGAGCACACGGTGGATGTGACCAGTCAGCAGGGGAATTTCACCCCTCCATCGCACCTGATGTTTTAGAGGTTCCTGCTGTTCTGTCTCAATTTTATTGTTTTACAGGTTTTTGATCTTGCAAACTGTCCGTCATGATCTCATTATCTTTTATTAAACGTGTCAAATTTCCTGTAAATTGTATCTAGATAAGACAGGTTAACATAGAGAAAAATAGAATGCATATGTATAAACCTACCAGTAACGCCGCCGCAGTAATAAGTTGATTCTATCAATAAGAAAATAAATTATTAAAAAACTCTATATATAACACATACAATAAGAAAATAAATGAAATTTAGGAATGATGAAAATTGTGTTCATTGGACCATTTTGTCATTTCCATTTATGCTTTGTTCCCAAAAAGTATAATTGCTTTTCCATTAATATATTAAAATTTGATATAGAAAAACACATCAAAAAGTTTCAGAGTCAGTTTACTCAATTATATAGAGTATTCAATTTGCAGAGAGATCAAATATGCAAATTTACATACCTACATTAGTCTCGGAATTTAAAATGAAGACACAAACAGTCGTAAGGGAGGAAAACTTTATCTACGTCAAATAATAAAAATAAGATATTATTACAAATTTATCCGATTTCAATGAAAATTAATAAATATACAGATGTAAATAAATTCATAAACTATCTATGATAATTATAACAGTAAGGAAATTTAGAGTACAATATATCTACACTTCTTAATGTTTGCAATTTATGCAAGGACATGAAAAAGTAGTTGAATATTTGCCAGCAATGCATATTATAGTTTTGGGACGGCATTGCATAATATCGATTGCTCTTTAAAAAGCAAATTAAAATGTCAAATCTATACAGGAAAAACCAAATAGCTGAAACATTGATTTATTCCATACTTGACATACAAATTATTGAATTCTTTCAAGAAAAACTTGAATTTGTCACTAGGACTTTTTAAGAGCAGACGTTGAATTTAGTGAATTAAACTTTTTATTGGGGATGGACTCAGCATAATTATGTATTTTTTTTTTATTTTTGTATTTAAAAAGGCATTTTTTTTTATTTTTTGACGTGATATGATCAATATGTATTTTTGATTTTACCCCGCTTCTCAAATAAAATTTATATGTTGAAATGATGTAAATAAAATCTATAAAATATAAACCTCTGAATTTGCCATATGATAATGTACGTAAAAACAGACATACACATACCAATTCTCATGTAGGCATAACACTTAACTAATGTAGACATATGAAATCTCACATTTAACTCTGTAGACAAGGAAGTGGATAGTGCAAAGAAAAAATTGAAAACAATCATAATAAAAGAGGCTGTACAAAAGTAGTCTTAACTCACCTCCATTTTGTATTATTCTTCACATCGTAGATTTATTGGTGTCTCTTCTTCCTGTTTTTATTCCCCTGGATCATATTCCATGTGTAGCTTTACACGGTATAAATAAACAACGCTCATATCACATACGGGGCCTGGACTAGAAAACGATAAATATATAGTGTTTCAAGTCAATGCATTTAAAACTCTGTTACGAATAAAGGACGTTCAATATACGCGCCATTCTATCGCAAATAATCGATGATATTAACAGCGGTTTATGCTTTTGGAATGAATACAAGAACAACAATAGTGTCCATGGTAATATCAATCATTAAGGAAAAAGGAAGTAAAATACTGTTTCGGTGAATTTAAAATCCAGAACGGAATAAAGTACTGCAAAAAATACGAGTATGGGGAATTCCCGTTCCTGAGTTGTACAATAAACATATGGGGCTTTAAAAAATCAATACGCAGCTAACTAAATAATTGAGTCTAATATTAGCGGCGAATTTGTGTAGATGTACTTAAAATGAGAACCCCGGACCCTGGGGCCACGAAAGTCACAAATTAGGAAGAAGCATCCTTCATCGTCATAACTATCTACATAGTTCATCATGACATGGGCTTAATAACTAAAAATAGAGGAGAAGATTTCTAAAGAATTTATGCAACTCCACTATATAATCAATAGAACCCTGCTTTAAAACCAGAACCTCTTGCCTTGAGGCCACGAAATTCAAAATTTTGGAAGATACATTGAATTTCTTGCTCATCATAATTTTGTACTGTGTTAGTTTATTTGATACCCAGGAACAAAGAAGAAGATTTTCAAAGAATTTATTTAATTTCACAATATAATCAATAGAACCCAGCTCTTACTAAAGAACTGCTGGTCCTTGGGCCAAGAAATTCACAATTTTTGAAGAGTCTTATTTAACATACATGTAACAACGTACTTGGTTAGTTTATTTAATGCTCAGGAAGAGAGTAGAAGATGTTCAAGATCAAGAAAACAGTAATTTGTCAGCAGGAACATATGTGGAAAACTTAACACCCATTCTCAGTATAAGGGCTCAAATAATTTCGCCTCATTTTCATTTAGAAGAAATACCACTGATGTAATTTTTAAATCAACATTATAAATAGTCATATAACAATGAATAAGAATTCATATAATTATCGATCTGAAAGGGTATTTAAGGAGTTCCAAATTCAAATATAGTAGCCTATTTGAAATGTACGTTACTATCGCCGAGGCGAATATTATGCTGGATCCCCTCTGTGTAATATATAGTTTTGATTCTCAAGTAAAAATTTTCTGATGATAGTTTTGTTCTCATTTATTTATTGATGGGCTAAATTAGAAATTTCAAAGGATTAATTACTCCTACTTAGATAATGTAACATGAAATTGAACAATTTGAGCAACTTTTGTAAATATGTTTACGGAATGAAAGACATTTTCAATCGTAGAGATAAGAAAGAAATGTACGTTACCTATATTCTTCCATTAAGAAATATATATTAAGTAGAAAATATGAGACGACTCTGAATAAGCAACCCCTTGTATCCTGTAAACTGGCAAAGACGTTTTGCTCAACACAATTAAAATCTATTTTTTACATGAAAAGTAATCATTTGAAATGTACGTTAATGAAATGTACGTTACAATGAAATTCGAATTAAGTGAATCTCGCACGAATTTTCATGTATTCTCATACTTTTACACACTAAATGTGTACACAAAGGAAAGTTTCAAAGGTTGGAGGTCGGCTAAATCCCAAAATTAATTAAAAGAAACGTTTCTGCTGAGGAAAAAAAATATATTAAGGTCAGTTATATGTAATATACTTTTGATACCTGGTATATATTTCTGAATACGAAACCTGTATGATGCATTTCTTATGATATGAAAGTTCAAATAGTATCAATATATTGCGTGTCTAACGTACGCTTTTGGAAGAGAATTGATTTTTATATTTGAAATGTACGTTACGTATGGTAACGTACATTTTGCGTATTTCTAACTGACATTTTTTTTTAATTTAGTCAATGAATTGCGTTTACACGAGCGAAACAAAATTATCGTTACAATCCATTTGACAAATGACCACATAAATCCATCTAAATGCACCCCCAATCCTCGTAAATGTGGTAGACTGTTACCACATGCTAGAAACTTTATTTTTAAGTGTATTAAATTCATCTTTGGCAACCTTTTTGCATTTTGTTTACTTTTGATATGCGACTTTTCGTCAATATTAATTTAATTGTTGTTGATAATTTAAAACAAGGTATGCATTCGATTATAATTGGTAAAAAAAAAAACAAAAAAAAGCAAAACAAACAAACTCAGAACACAAGACACTACTAAGTCAAAAACGTGCTGACATTCCCATTTTTTACTGACAAACTTAGAAAATTACTGACAATGTGCTGTCGTTACTGTAAAACTTAGACAATTACTGACCTTTTTACTGCCGGTACTGATAAATTTAGAAAAGTGCTGACAATCTTAGTCGGTGCTGATAAACTTAGACAATTACTGACCCGTTTACTGTCCCTGCTGAAAAACTTAGACAAGTGCTGACATTTACTGATAATTACTGTCCCTATTGTTCTCGCTCTCGGGGAGGCTGCAGTGGTGTGAAATTGATTTTTTTTTAACATAGATTATTATTTCATTTATTTATTTTTTTATATAATTTCTAACTATGTCCAGATGATATCTTTGGGAAAAAAATGCTTCTTTGGTCTATTTATAGAAAATTGATTTGTAGAAAAAGAGAAGGGATAAAGAATTTCAAAACCTTCAAAAAGATAAGCAATTAAAAAAAAATAAAAATTTTTCTTTAGTAGTTAGATACCAGGTATGAAATTTTACAGAGGTCTTCTCCTTCTCATAATTAAGGAGGCTGGGGGGTCAACAAATAAACCAAAAATTAACCACCAGAATTAACATATTTTTTTAGGTATGGTATATTAAGCTGTTATCTATTATTTGGCAAAGAAAAAATTCCTACATTTTAGTTTTAAAATTTTATCATTTTTTATATCTTTATATGGAGCTCTTCTTTTAAAGGAGATCGAAATAGTCTGAAAATGGCTGCCACCCCCCAGCCTCGTTAAACAATGTTATTACATGACATGCATTTTATAAATATTTTCTTAATTAACGTTGACTCCCTGACTTTCTTTAATATTAAATTAAAGAATTAAACTGTAAGGTTAGATGTGTTTTATTCAATTTTGATTTAATTTATTCAAATTAGTTTGAATAATTTTAATAAACTCATAGCGCGAGGTGAGGCCGTGGGTGCCCCCTTTTGAGGAAAGGCGTTTTTTTTTTATATAGTTTTCTTATTATGTTCCCCAAACGAAGTTGGGGAACATATTGTTTTTACTCTGTTTCTTATTAAGGTCTTCCGTCTTCACGGAAGACCTTATAGTGATTCTACTGTTTCTTATTATTATTCTTATTATTATTATTATTATTCTTTTTTTTGACAAAATTTTGTGCAGGCGATTTATCGAAAACTATTCAGCGGTTTTTCATGAAACTTTCACAAAATATGTGTCATTATATGAAGTTGTTACATCCGAAGAGAAATTTGGAAAATTCGCTTCTGGTTCCAAGTTATGGACAATTTCCTGATTTTAAAATGCGATTTTGTCGCCCCTTTTTATCGAAAATGGCTAAGGATATGAACTGGAGACTTATTGGAGATGATAGATCATGACTTTGTGGTTTGCAGAATTGCCTTTTCGTGCGTCGTCAGTACTTCCGGTTGTTACGAATTGCAAACTTAAAAAATTCGTATTTTCTAACTTTTTTGTTTTTCAGTATTTTTCATTTATATTTGGTATGGTAGTAGAAGCCCTCCGTATAATGCTTACTATTTAATTTGTTTGAATGGTGATAAATCTAAACTCTAGATATTAGCATTCAAAAATCTGAAGCGGGTCCAAAATGGCGGCTGTCTCTGTCAACGCCGACATTTCGCAATAGTGGTTTACGGAGGCAGTCGAGCGTTTGCTTGAACGAAAGTAACATAAGAATAAATGAAATGTAAAGGAATACTTGGATTGTCACGTCGTAGTTTCGTTGCAGTTCTGTGTCAAACTACCGTCTTCTATAATTGGTTTTGGCTGGTTTTCAAAGTATAAAAACAAACGACGATTGCGCACAATGTGCAAATGAAATTCGATACCTATTATCTTTTTTGCATCATGGAAAAACTTATAAGTAATACTTTCTCAAAAAAGAATATCAATTAATATTGTCAGTGTAAATCTTCACCACTGTTTTTCCTATACACACTTGTGTCATATTAAACTATAAATAAGACAAAAATAAGAAAACGATTTATTTAAAGATCGCTTCATGGAGTTTATTTTAGCATTCTTGCTTCAAAGAACTGATTCAAGTTATTGAGCATAAATGATTTCTGATTCCTTGACCATCAAAGGGCGAGCCATGTTTTCTGGCGAAACGTTTCAACCTTTTTCAATTAACTAATCGGGATAGTTCAGTTTGGGGATAAACAGGAAATTGAAAAAAAAATCATAACCGTTTCACCGCTTTAGTGTTACAAGCATATATACAATATGGACTTTTTAAAATGTGTTAAATATACTTTCTAAATCTGGAATCTTAGGCTATAAGAACGTTCTTTTTTTTAATTTCATTGAAGCTATCACACCTATTTAATAGAACATTCCAAAGAAAAAGCGCGAAGATTAACTCGTGGCGTTTGGCGCTAAATTTTGAATAGTGACCTGCCTTTCATAATTTTAAGAGAGAGGCACTGCTTCGTAAATATGTACAAGTAGATTTAGTGTAGATGTCCCTATAGTGTAATATTTAGTGCGTTGAAATTTTGTGCTGGCGACTTGGGTTCAATCCCCTTGTGTGCAAATCTTTTTTTTTACATTTTCAGCACGATTTTACGTTTTGTTTCCGGAATCGGACGGAAGACCTCTCGTTGCTCGCAACGAGTTTCATCTAGTTATTATTATTTTTCTTCTTCCTGGGCACTTTTTTGTCCGCGAATGATCTCGTAAACTACACATCCAGCTAAGGTGAAATGTTTTTAGGGTCAGTAGACATGTAATGTAGATTTGCGGAATGAAGGTCATTTTGCGCGCACGTGCTTGCAAGAGCGCGCACGTGCAACACGTGAATGACCAATATAATGTATATTCGCGTAACTTTTCTATTTTTT